ATCGATGTTTCTCTCTCATTGATGTTTCTAACTCTCTATCCCTCTCTCTTCCTCTCTGTAAAAATCAATAAAATACATTAAAAAAAAAAAAGGTTTATCCTGCCGAGACCGGTTTGGCTCAGTGGATAGAGCGTCGGCCTGCGGACTGAAGGGTCCCGGGTTCGATTCCGGTCGGGGGCATGTACCTGGGTTGTGGGCATATCCCCAGTGGGGGATGTGCAGGAGGCAGCTGGTCGATGTTTCTCTCTCATCGATGTTTCTAACTCTCTATCTCTCTCCCTTCCTCTCTGTAAAAAATCAATAAAATATATTAAAAAAAAAAAAAAGATTTATCCTTAAAAAAGAAGAAAAGCCCCTGGCTCACTACCAGCTCTGTTTAACTGAGCAATTCAATTGGTGTGTGTGTGTGTGTGTGTGTGTGTGTGTGTGTGTGTGTGTTTCTAAAACCACACAGTTGAAAAGATCCCACTGTTCCATATTCTTACCCTTTTAAAATGGTCTGATTAAGCCTGGCCAGGTAGCTCAGTTGGTTACAGTGTCATCACAGTATGATAAGGCTGTGGATTCAACCTAGGATCCAGGCACACAAAAATCAACTGATAAATGAATAAAGAAGTGGAATAACAAATTGATCTCTTTCTCTCTCTTTCCCTTCCTTTCTCTTTGAGATCAATAAGTTAAAATAAAAAGGCCTGACCAAGGAAAGTGGGTAATAGTTTGACAAATTTTCCTGAAAACCAAAAAAAAGGAAAAGAAGACACCCTTGGCTGCTCATGTTCTCAACACCTCTCATTACTGCATCTTTGTATTTAAAATTTGAGTCAATCCAGTCACGCCACCAAAGCATCTTTTGTGAGTTTTAAGAAAAAAATAAACAAGACCCAGCATCTGTACCCATACCTGGGCAACCATGAGCAGTCATTGTAGCAAAATACTTGCATTAGCATTTTGCCATCTCACAGCTGGGAAGGATGTTGGTAAAATGACTTTGTTTAGTTACCCGATGCCTATTTTTGCCATTCATCTAACAATAGTCCCTGGCACATAGGTACTCCACCTATAGACAGTTTTTAAAAAGTAATATATATATATATGTGTGTGTATATATATATATATATATAATTGATTTCAGAAAGGAAGGGAGAGGGGGAGAGAGATAGAAACATCAATGATGAGAGAGAATCATTGATGGCCTGCCTCCTGCATGCCCCACAATCCAAGCATATGCCCCGACCAAGAATCGAACCATGACCTCCTGGTTCATAGGTCAATGCTCAACCACTGAGCCACGCCAGCTGGGCCACCTATGAGCAATTTTGAGTGAAAGGGTGGTGGGTCAGAAACTGGGGGCTGAGGTCTCATCTCATTCTGCCCTTGCTCTTACAATAACCATTTCACCACCTCTGGATTGTGAAGTATTTCCATAAAGTTTCAGCATTTCATATGCTTTCCACAATAGTCCCTTTAGGTAGAAACTTTCCTCCCCATTTCCCTGATAGGAAAGTTAAGTCTGATAAGAGGTTAAATCAAGCCCTAACCGGTTTGGCTCAGTGGATAGAGCGTTGGCCTGCGGACTGAAGGCTTCCGGGTTCGATTCCGGTCAAGGGCATGTACCTTGGTTGCAGGCACATCCCCAGTAGGGAGTGTGCAGGAGGCAGCTGATTGATGTTTCTCTCTCATCGATGTTTCTAACTCTCTATCTCTATCCCTTCCTCTCTGTAAAAAATCAATAAAATATATTAAAAAAAAAAAAAGAGGTTAAATCAATTCCCAAGTACACGTTTGCAGAACTCCCACCTGGATCATCTGGTTCTGAATCCTGAAGCCCCTTGTCCTCCCAAACTGCTTCCAGCAGCATGGCCTTGGCAAATGCCTGATCTCAAACCCAAATCCTTCTCTAAACTTGTGGTTGGGGTTTTAGGTCATCTATCCAGGTATGGATTATCTAAGAATTTAAATGACGTGGTGGAGGTGGTGGGAAATACCTGCTAATGCCCATTTCTTCTCTGATACTTCCATGAAATTGTTTCAGACCGAGTAACATAACTTCCAGGTAAATATTTTGGTTCTCAAGAAGAAAAACCAGCCCTCTGTTTATGCCAAGTCATAGCGCGGGCCCTGGGAGGAGCAAAATATGTTTTGCTGTGAGAGTAATGATAGGGTAGCCCCTCCCTACACTTGACTGACTCGACTTAATGACAAGTCAGCTGCTCCAGCAGTTCCTGTCTTCCCGGTTTTTTGTTTTCCCTCATCTCTGGATTCTGAACCAGGGAAGGGGGTGTAAAATTATATAAAAATTGGCAGTGATCAGAAACGGCGTCCTCAGTCGTCTCCCTCTTTGGAACTCTCCAGGTCCCTTGTAGCATCTTGGCGTTAAGCCTCCCAGGAAGCCGGTGTTGCTCAGCCAATTCACATCTTCTGTGGAGTTCTTCAACACCACCGCGGCCCCCCCCCCCCCCCCGCCCCCTTCTGAGTGTAAATGGGCCTTATGGCTAATGCAGACCTAATTCTACAAGGGGAAGGAGAAAAACAGCCTAGTGCAGCCCTCTGGAATAATCGAGAGGTGCCAGTTTTGCTTTTCTAGTGACTGTTGTGGCCTAGAAATGAACTCTATGCCCAAGCCAAAAAATCGGAGAGCAATGCTTGACTCCAAGTCTAGGTGCAAGTCCAGCAAATTCTATCGGCCAACTTACCTAAACCTGTCCTCGATTTTCCATCTCCACCACCCTAGTCCAATCCACCCCCATCTCTTGTCTAGACTCTGTTCTTTCTCACTCATTCTTTTTCTTTGCAACATACCCTTTTTAAAAATGAGTTTTATTGCCAATTTTATGCACTGTAAAATTCACCCATTTAAAGTGTTCAATAGTTTTTGGTATATTCACAGAGCTGTGCAACCATCAGCAGAATCAAATTTCAGGCAATTTTCATTAGCCCCCAAAAGAAATCCTCTGCCAACTCCCCAGCCCCCAATCTACTTTCCATCTCTATATAAATTGATTCTGGACATTTTGTGTAATTGGAATCATATACTACGTGGCATTTTGCTTCTGGCTTTTTTCACTCAGCACAGTGTTTTCAAGGCTCTTCCACTTGCAGCTTCTGTCAGGACCTCATTTCTTAAAAATATATTTTTATTGATTTCACAGGGCAAGGGAGAGGGAGAGAGATAGAAACATCAATGATGAGAGAATCACTGATCAGCTGCTTCCCGCACACCCCCTACTGGGGTTCAAGACTGACCAGGAATTGAACCAAACCAGGATCTCCTGGTTCATAGGTCCACCCTCAGCCACTGAACCACACGACCAGGCAAAGCCTCATATTTTATTGCCAAACTAGAGGCCCAATGCACAAAAATCGTGCAAGGGGCTTGGCCCCCCAGCCCACCTTGGCCTTGGCTCTCGCAGCCCTGGCTTTGTCCAGAAGGTCGCCCGGAAGGATGTCTGGTCTAATTAACATATTACGCTTTTATTATATAGGTTAGTATTTCCTTGTATGGGTATGCAACGTGTGATTATCCATCATGCAAGGTATCCTTCTCATCCTCATATTTTTTTGTTGTCCCACTTTTTTATGCATTCACTGTATGTGCCCTGACGGGGGATGGAATTCACAATCTTGGAGTGTGTGTCGGGGGAGAGGTGCCGGCCAGGGCCATTTCCTGGCCATGTTCAATGTAAAACGACATCCTCACGGTGGGAGACGGCGCTCAGATGCACAGGTGTGCAGGGACGCATTTCCCTTCCCGCGCTCCCTTAGCTGCCTTGGTTACCCTGGAAGGGTTGAAGCCAGATCGCGGTCTCCACCGGAGGAGACAGCAGGGCGAGTACCTCCAGGATTGAGGACGTTCTGCGGGAATCTAGCCGGACGGGGCTGACAGGCGGGACAAACTCCTGCCCATGGAGAGCTCTTCGGGCTGGTTCGAGGGACTCCGTTTTCTGGGTCGGACCAGGGTGAGAAAATGAGTTCTCACGTGAGGTCTCCGGTGAGTGGATCGCAGGTCGGATAAGGGCGCCCAATACCAAGCGCAGCTGCTCGCAGCGTGGACCCGCGCCCGGCTCCGGCCGGGTCTGGGCCGGCCGTGCACGGACACAGCAGCTACCGCCCGGGTCTCTCCGGGTGATCGCATCCCGGGACGGGGCAGATCCTGGGGAGGCACCCACCGAGGGCGGGGGGGTTGGCTGTGCGCATCGGCGCGTCCAGGGCCCCAGCCGACCTCGGGGCTCAGGGGCAGGGACCGAAGCGGGGACCGGGGAGAGGCCGGGGGCCGGGCTGCCAGGGGGCGCGGCGCTGCGGCCGGGAGGCGGCGGCTGCGGGCGGGCCCCGCCTCCCCGCTCCGCCTCCTGCTCCGCCCTCCGGCCCGGCGTCGCCCGCCCGCCCGCTGGCTTTCCTCGCTTGCTGCTCGCTCGCTCGCTCTCGGGCCCCCATGCGGATGTGACATTTCAGGCCGCCGCCATTTTGAGAACCCGCCGAGCCGAGCCGAGCCGCCGGGCGCCGCGTCCGCTCCGCAGCCCCGCCGCCGCCGAGGAGGCCGAGGCCGCAGCGCCCCGAGCGCGGCCGGCCCGTCGCCCGCCCGCGCCGCCGCCGCCGCCGCTCCCGCCGGGCCCAGGCCCCGCAGGCCCGCCGCGCAGGCCAGGCCTCCCGCCCGCCGCGCCCGGCCCGAGGCGGGGCTGAGTCCGCGGCCCCCGCCCGGCCGCCCTCCGCCCCCGGCCGGCCCGCAGCCCCGCAGCCCCGGCCCCGGCGGCGGGAGGCGGGCCCCGCGGCGGCCGCAGCAGCGGCGGCGGCGGCGGCCCCTGCGAGCGACGAGGCCGCCCGGCCCGGCCCGCCGGCCGTCCGCCCGCCTCGGCGCCGAGATTGGGCGAATCGCGAGCAAGTACGTGCGCGTCTCCCTGCCGCCGCCGCCGCCGCCGCCGCCCGCCGCCGGCCTCCCCGGGGCCGCCGACGACGACGCGCGGGAGGAGGAGGAGGAGGCCGCCCCGCCGCCGCCGCCGCCGCCCGGGCTCGCCGCCCCCCGCCCGCCGGGCCCGCAGCCTGGGCCACCGGCCGCAGGCGAGGCCCAGGCCGCGGCCGACATGAACCACCAGCAGCAGCAGCAGCAGCAGAAAGCGGGCGAGCAGCAGCTGAGCGAGCCCGAGGACATGGAGATGGAAGGTGAGGCCCGCGGGCGGCGGCGGGGGCCGGGCGCCTTCCATTGTGGCCGGGGGGAGCCGCGGGAGCCACGCGGGGGGCTCGCCATCTTTAAAGCAGGCCCGCGGCGGCCCGGCCGGCCCGGCTGCACCGTCATGCGGCCGCTCATTGTCCGGGCCCGGCCGGCGGCCTCCGGGCACAAAGCGCTCCCTCCGATTTGTAAATGAGGGCGCCCGGGCCGCGCGGGGACGCGGGCGTTCTCTCGCTGCTGGGCGGCCTCCCGCCGCCCGGGGAGGGGAGCGAGCGGGGCTCCCGGGACCGGCCTCCCCTGGTCGGGCGTCTCCGGGGCCCGCTGGGCTGGCCCGGTTCTGGCCGGCAACCCGGGAACCCCTCTCCGTGGACGCGGGGCTGGCCGGCACCTGCTCCTCCCGCGCGCTCCCCCGGAGAGCCCACGGGCTTGGCGACCGTCTCCCCGATCGCCGTGGATCAGCACTTGCCAGCGTCGGGCTTCATTTTGAAACACCTGCCAGGAGCGCAGATGTTGTCAGCCTGTGGGCTGGCTCCGAGCTGGGAGCCAGGTGCTCTTGGTTTCTAAGTTGCCTGCTTTTCGGGGGGGGGGGGGCGGGGGAGCGTGGCCCCCCGACTGTGTGCCGTGCAGTCCGCATCCGGCCAGGTGTGTGTGTGAAACTCCGCGGATGCCCCGCCACATTTGGCTACCTCCATCCGCATCCAACCTTACTCGGAAGGTAATTTAATTTCCTGCCCGTGTGGCAGCAGTTTTCCGAGGTACGGCACTTGGCGATGCGAGGGCTTCTTGGTTAGGTTTGTAAAGGCACTGGGAGGGAGAGCGCTTTCTTGAATTTTACCTGGTTGAGCAGAGCTGGTCATTGGAAGGCATCTTTGATTTCTCGTGGTGCCAGGTACTTAAGAGGGTAAAGGCAGAGTTGTCTTCATTAAAAGACAGTTTCCCATACACCTGGCGGAGTCAGCCTGGCAGGAACCGGGCATTGAGTGTTTTGTTCTCGCTGGCTTTTAGCAAGAGATTTTGAGTTGCATAAATGAATGGAGGCCCTAAGGAAGCTGGGAAAAGAAGCATTTATCATATGCATGGGCCGCACGTGTGGGGTGCTGTGCACTGGTTGGTGGAAGTCCTTTCCATGATTGGTATTCCCCTGTGAAGAATAACTTACTGCCAGTATACTGGGTGTTGACTGAAAAACTGGCCTGCCAGACTGCAGAAGGCCAAGTGGTGGAGGTGCCTGCAGAAAGCACTTCCCAGTGGTACTTAGCGTAGCGGGAATGGGGGCCCGCGGAGCGGAGTCCCCGCAAGGACTGGCTTATTTCACTTGGCCCCAGCAAGCAGCCACTTTGCAGAGCTTTTGGCAAGTGTGATTCAAGCGGCTAGTGAAGGAAGACATCGCCGGGAGAATTTTGTCTATTCCTTTGATGCTACCTAGCAAAAAGGATGCTTTTCATTTTGTTTTTTAGGATATTACCCCGTCAGGACCAAATCAGGGCTAGTTTATAGATTTTCCATCTATGTTGCCTTACCTATGTTCAAGTGTTACTGAATGCTGGTGACAGTGAATAAACATGGACATCACTGAAGTCTATTTCTGGTACAGAACTGTGCTCTTTGGGGGAACTGTAAGAAACTTGTTTCTCTTGAGTGGGCCTCTGTCCCAGATTCATCATCCAGAAGGTACCTTTTCTTTGTCAGGCTTGTGATTGACACCCTTAGCGCACCCACAGGTGTGTGGTTTAAAAAGCCGCCTATGTATTAAGCAGTCTATTTCTGCTTTTCTTAGCCTTCCCCTTCTTCCAGTGTGGTGCTAGGTTTATGTTATAGTTTAGGATTGGGAAGAGTGAAAGAATCCTATTAAAAAGCCAGCAGGGTGGGATTTAGTTCCTATCAAGTCTGGTTGGCTCCATATGTCAGGCTGTGGTAGTGACTTGCACCTGTTTAGCATCTTTGCCTTAATTCCAATAGAATTAACAGCTGGAATCTCAGGGTTCTGATCAGCTTGAAGCTTTGTCAGTGAGCATCTTGCCTGCCCCTCCTGGCAGGGGTGGTTTCAAATTAGACGGGGAGACTAGATTGGTGGGTTGTTTTTTTCCTATAAAGAGGTCAGTGTTAGTTTGCTGTCTGTCCTCCTGCTCCCCTTTATTGGGGTTGAATTTGCTCCTGACTGAACTCTGCACAGTCCTTGCATAGCTGCTGGAGAATGACAGTGCCCTGGATGAGTTATGGTAAAAAAGCCTTGTTTTGAGCAGTTAGGAAAGTTACGAAGGGTGAAGGCAGAGTTGGGAAAGGTGGGGAACATGGAATTTCATTGGGGTTGGGACCACAGGCTTCCTGTAAGGCCCGAAGCAACCAATCTCACGTTTTCAAGTTGGGGGCATTTAGAACTGTGGAGGTGGTGTTGTGTTGTTAGGTCTGGCCAGGATTGAATGTTCTTGGCAGTTGACTCTAACTCAGAGGCAATGCGCGCTGAGAGGCTGAAAGAATGACTCGCACAGGCTTCTGCCCTGTGAGTACTTTGGGGAGGTGATAATCTGGTCTGTGTTATGCCCTGTCAACAGGAAGTTTTCCCAAGGCCTTGCTTCTGCTGTATAGACTGGCCAGCACCAATGTAAATATCCTCATGTTTGTTCCCTGGTGTTTCTTCTGCCCTTGTGAGCAGTCTCTGTTTCAGAGTGTAACCTCTGAGTGGACAGTTCGGTTTGACTTTCGTGGAGCACTCAGACCACTGCTATGAGGGACACCAAGCTTCAAGCGAAATCAGTGAGTCAGTCAGCTGCAGTTTCTGAAAAGAATTGACCACTGTCTTCCATGTTTTTAGTTTGGGGGGGTGGGCGCCACAACAGCAGTGGGTTTTTTTTCTTTTCAAACTTGTGTGGGTAGATGGAGTTTCAAGTTACTTTTCTGCTCAAGCAGGTTTGGGAGTAGAAAGTGAGTTCTGTTGAACACATGTACCTAGATAAGCCCAATTAATGCATTTTATTATATCTAAAAGGTTTCCTTTTCAACTAGCATTGTAACAAGACAAATAATAAGAATATTGACTTTCTCCTCACATTTGCTTGGTATGGTAAAAAACTATGCAAAGCTACAAAGTGAACATCAATTCGGAGAACTCAAAAGAAATATAGAAGAAATGAAATTAGGCCGAACCTAGAAACATAATCTGATGTGAGCCTGTCCATTTTTGAACATATTGGAAGTTACTGTTGCAGGCATCAGCCTTATTCTTTCCAGGTGCTGATTTTGATTTGGTTATCTGTAAACAAATAAAAAGTTGATACGGCAAATATGGGAAGAAAGTATATACTTTTCCTCCTCCATTTATTTATTTTTTGAATCAGTGTTGTGGGAAGAGGCCACTGAAAACTCATGGTGGGGCTGTGGGGTGACTTGAGAGTACAGGTTTAGGGCTGAGCCTGAGTTTGAATGTAGACTTTGCCATTTAACTGTTCTGTGGCCTCATATACACTGCTTAAGCTCTTGGTGCCTCAGTTTCTTCGTCCTTGAAAAGGAGTCAATTCTATCTTGCAAGATTGTGAGGGAGGAAACACAAAGCACAGGCAAAGTGCCAGGCACAGAGTTGGGAGCACAGGTGATGTGTAGTCGGTGGTAATGCTGTGCTGGTTGAACCTTTGCACCTGAGGAAGGATAAAGTTTGCCAAATCCAGGTGGCATGAGTTGGTTTTTGGAGGTATGCAAAAATGTCCTATGGTAATTATATCCTAATGTGGATCAGGAAGAAAACATAACCAGCTTCAATCTAAGCAACACTTTATGAAATTTGGGACTTGATGTACCTAAATAGGTATTTAAGGCCAATGGTATAAATATTTTAAGAAAGATTAAATGGGTAGCCCAGCCGGCATGGCTCAGTGGTTGAGCATTGACCTATGAACCAGGAGGTCAGTTTGATTGCCAGTCAGGGCACGTGCCCGGGTTGCGGGCTCGATCCCCAGTGTGGGGCGTTCAGGAGGCAGCTGATCAATAATTCTCTGTCATCATTGATGTTTCTCTCTCCCGTCCTCTCTGAAATCAATAAAAATATATTTTAAAAAATTAAATGGGTAATAGAGATGATGAGTGGATGTTTATTGTGACACTGGTACTGCAGTTTGGTCAGCTCCATAGCCTTCGCCATTCTTGTTCTTGCACTAGTGTTAGATCATCTAATGGGAGTTTGAGCATCAGGTTGTAGCAGGGATGCCAGGTCACCAAGCATCCAGACTTTGGGAGTTGGCCTTGAACTCTCTCTGGATACCCATATCCTGTTACCAAGCTCTTTTGATTTTCCAGCTGCCACCCTAAAGCAAGGTCCCTGTTGCCTCATGCCGGGACTTTGCAATAGCCTTCTTACTGGTCTCGGCTTCCACCCTTCCTGATTCCCACACAGCTATGAAAACGGACTGCCCACAGGACTGCCCAGCCCTGCCACTGTCCTGCTTTTATTTTATTTATTTACTAGTATTTATTTATTTTCACTGCCCTGCTTTAAAAAGGACTCAGGTGTGCTGCCTTCCCTGTGTAGAGGCTAAGTCACACAACCCAATCTAGGCCATCGGAGTCCTCAGGATGGCCTCAGCCTGCTCTGTGCTTCAGGCTCCCAGCAGGCACACATTTGTGTTGATGGAGTACAGCTCCAGGTTCTGGATCTCACAGGAGCGTAGATGGTGATGTGACAGCTTCTCTTTCTGGAATGCATAGGGCAGATACCCCAGGAAAGAGGTTCAAAACCCATTCAGATGCCACCTTTTTCCTAAACCTTTCTGGTCACCTCCGCCACTTTTGTTGCCAACCTTTTGCCCCATGTGCTACCTGTGAGGTTGCCACTTGTGTTCCCATCTTCCTCACTGTTGGATTATTTGTGCTGAAGGTGACTGTCTTATGTTCCTGTTTTGTAAATGTACTGTGGAAGCTACTTCTTCAGAAAACAGCAATTCTAAGGCTAAAGGTACCTGACTGGCTGGCAAGGTGGCCTGTGAAAGAGTGCCGAAGCCATAAA